CTTTTTGCTTTAATTTTTATCCTTCCCATGCACTAAATATGGTACGCAGTTCCCGGTTTTAAACAAATAGTTTTGCTACCACCAAAAGTTGCATAAGCCATAATGTCAAACGTGTGATTTAAAAAAATTGAAAAACTTGCTATTTTTTAAAAAAGAGTCTCACTCAAAGTTACACAAACGGAAAACAAATTCTGTGTGTTTTGCTACTTTTTGTTTCACCACATTTGCCTCTTAGAAATATATCTTTGGTTTTAAATATTGATCTGCAACACGTGTATTGCTTACCACAGCATTTTTTACATATGTTTTTAAATTATCAGTTTTTAATCTATAGTGAGCAGGTAAAGGTAAAGGTTCCCCTTGACATTTTTAGTCCAGTTGTGTCCGACTCTAGGCGGCGGTGCTCATCCCGTTTTCAAGCCATAGAGCCAGCACTTGTCTGAAGACAGTTTCCATTGTCACGTGGCCAGCGTGACTAGGGAACGCTGTTTTACTTTCCAACCGAGGTGGTACCTATTTATCTACTTCTATTTGCATGCTTTTGAACTGCTAGGTTGGCGAGGGGCTGGGACAAAGCAACGGGAGCTCACTCAATCGCATGGATTCGATCTTATGACTGCTGGTTCTCTGACAGCACAGAGGCGTCTACTAGCCACATCCAAAACTCCAAACATATTAACTATGAATAAGCAAAGAAGTGGGGCATACTGACTAATAATTCCCACCATTAGCCTAGCAAATGCCATCAAGCAGTGTGCACAAACACACATCTTTGTTCACAACAAGACAGAGTTTCAAGGCACTCTAGTCTGGGTTTATTTATTTATTTATTTGATTTTTATCCCACCTATCTCGACCAACTGGGTTACTGAGATGTCTAAACATAGCCATTAAGTCAAATCTTATTTACCAGCCCAGGAGTGCAAGCACTCTGGCAGTGTCTTCCAGTTGCCATCAATTCTTACTGGAGATGTTTGGGATTTATCCTCTGACCTTCTACATGTAAACCACACAGCATGTTACTAAGCAATGATCAATACTGATTAAAGCAATTCCAATCTTTTATTAATGTGCTGCATCTTCCCCAGATTCACAAATGGTGTATCAGAGAGGAGCACTCCTATACACCAGAGACTAAAACTACAACTGTGATCTGCTAGCTGTCCATTTTGAAAATGTACATGCCAGTTATATCAATTATAAATGAGATATGATTCTAATCTATGACCTAACATTTCCCCAAATGTCACTATTTAACTTTCTCTATGTGTTCTCTTAATTCCTCTTTTCTGTCCTTCATTTTCTCTTCAATTTATTTCTCTGTGCATGATAAAAAAATACATAAACTGATAGTGTTCTCTTCCCCAATCTCTGCCTTTAAATGTACAAACCCTTTTTACAAAATAATTATGAAATGACAGCCTGATTTCCATAGTCACCCTTCTCCCTTATATATTTTGAGTATTGCCCTCTCCTATACACAAGCCATTCTTTCTCATTGTATCGAGACAGACCTCTTAACTGCCATCCTCATCTCCCAAACCTTTTTACTGCCTTAAAATGGTAAATACTGTATACTATTTTTAGACCAAGAAAAGTTCAACCCCGCCATTTTTTTCCTTTTCCTATTTTCATTTTAACGTTTACTGTTATTATTTTTATGTGTTTAATATTGTATTGATTAATTTATACTTTGTCCTGTTATTGTTTTGTTTTGTTTTTATAATCTATTTTATTATACTATGTAAACTGCCCAGAGTGGCCTGGGTTGCCAGATGGGTGGTAAAGAAACCAAATCAAATCAAATAAATAAATAACCCACATAGGTTTGATATCAACAACTCATGATTTTGCTGTATATTTCAGTATTCACCCAGGGTTTACTCTGTTTTTTTCCTAGGTCCATTTTAACCCCATTGTAACCACAAACGTTCAAACAAATAGGTATCTTCTTCCCTCTTCACAGTCATACGCCAACATTTCAGGTGAGAGTGTTTTCTTTCTAAACCCTATGTCAGTAAGATAGTTGTTTTCCTCCTGCAGGGTTTTGTCTTTCTGCGTAGGAAAGACACATCTTTTCCATTCTTTACCTTCACATTCTTAGCCCTATTTTAGTTTCATGGAATCACAGAGCTGGAAGAGACCATAGGGGCCATCAAGTCCAACCCTCTGCCATGCAGCAACTTCATCAAAGCACTCCCGACAGATGGCCATCCAGCCTCTGCTTAAAAACCTCCAAAGAAGGAGACTCCACCACACTCCCGAGGCAGCATATTCCACTGCTGACCAGCTCTGACTGTCAGGAAGTTCTTCCTGAAATTCAGGTGGAATCGCTTTTCCTGTAGCCTGAAACCATTGCTCCTTGTCCTCGTGTCTGGAGCAGTGGAAAACAAACCTGTACCTTCTTCGACATGACATCCCTTAAAATATATAAACATGGCTATCATGTCCCCTCTTAACCTTCTTTTTGTAAGGTTAAACATTCCCAGTTCCCTAAGACACTCCTCATAGGGCATGGCTTCCAGACATTTGACTATTTTGGTCTCTCTCTTCTGGACACATTCCAGGTTGTCAATATCCTTCTTGAACTGAGATGCCCAGAACGGGACACAATACTCCAGATGAGTCGTGACCAAAGCAGAATAGAGTGGTACTATCACTTCCCTTGATCTAGACACTATACTTCTATTGATGCAACCAAAAATTGCATTGGCTTTCTTGGCAGCTGCATCACACTGCTGGCTCATGTTCAGTTTGTGGTTTACCAAGACTCCTACATCCCTTTCACAGATACTGTTGACTTGCCAGGTGTCTCCATCCTATATCTGTGCAGTTCATTTTTCCTGCCTAGTTGTAGGACCTTCCATTTCTCCCTGTTGAAATTCATGTTGTTAGTTTTGGCCCAGGACTCTAATATGTCAAGGCCATTTTGAATTTTAATCCTGTCCTCTAGGGAATTAGCAACCCCTCCCAATTTGGTATCATCTGCAGATTTAATCAGTATACTCTCTATTCCTTCATCCAAGTCATTGATAAAGATGTTGAATAGCACAGGGCCCAGAACAGAACCCTGAGGCACCCCACTAGTTACCTCTCTCCAGGATGAAGAGAAGCCATTTGTGAGCACCCTTTGGGTTCGATCAGTCAACCAATTAGAAATCCACTGAACAGCAGCACTGTCGAGCCCACATTTTGCTAGTTTTCTTGCAAGAATATCATGGGGAACTTTGTCAAAGGCCTTACTGAAATCAAGATATGCTATATCCACAGCATTCCCTTCATCTATCAAGCCTGTAACTCTATCAAAGAAAGACGCTATATCCACAGCGTTCCCTTCATCTATCCTGTAACTCTATCAAAGAAAGAGATCAGATTAGTCTGGCATGACTTGTTTTTAAGAAACACTTAGTCTGGCATGACTTGTTTTTGAGAAATATGTGTTGATTTTTAGTAATGACAGCACTGCTTTCTAAGTAATAACAAACTGTCTGTTTAATGATCTGCTCAAGAATTTTTCTGGGAATTTATGTCAGGCTGACTGGGTGATAATTATTTGGCTCTTCTATTTTTCCCTTTTTGAAGACAGGGACAACATTTGCCCTCCTCCAGTCTGTGAGAACTTCTCCTGTTCTCCAAAAATTCTTAAATATTATTACCAATGATTCTGAAATTACTTCTGCCAGTTCTTTTAATATCTGTCTGGCCCTGGAGGCTTGAATTCATTTAGATTAGCCAGGTATTCCTGTACTACTTCTCTACCTATTCTGTGCTGCATTTCCCCCACTACATCACCTGCTCTTCACCCCTCAGGTTGAGCACTATTTTCTTTTTTGGAGAAAACTCGTGCAAAGAAGGTATTGAGACGTTCAGCCTTTTCCCTGTCCTCTGTTAGTAGTTGGCCATCGTCTCCACAAGCGACCCTATCATTTCTTTGTTTTTCTTTTTGCTGCGGGCATAACTAAAAAAAACCTTTGTATTGTTTTTAATCTGTCTAGCAAGCCTGAGTTTATTCTGCACTTTTGCTTCTCTTACCTTCCCCCTACATATATTGGCTCTTTGCTTGTATTCCTCTTTGCTATTTTCCCCCTTTTTCCATTTCTTGTACATGTTTTTTTAAACACTTAGCTCAGCTGAAAGTTCTTTAGTCAACCATTCTGGTTTCTTTGGACATCTCCCGTTTTTCCTTCTTAATGGGAACAATTTTAAATTGTGCCTTTAATATATCCCTTTTAAGAAATTTCCATCTCTCCTGAACTCCCTTCTCTTTCAGTATCTTTGTCCGTGGAATTGCAGCCAGTAATTGCCTAGGTTTACTGAAATTGGCCTTCTTAAAGTCTAGAATGCATGTCTGGCAGGACTTAGTTTCCCCTTCCCACTGTATAACAAATTCCAAGAGAGCAGGGTCACTCCCACCTCAGGATCCCACCACTTGGACCCCATTAACAAGGTTAAGATCAGATTTGTTGGTTAAGATCAGATCTAAAATAGGTGATCCCCTTGTTGCCTTTTCTACCTTCTGGACCATGAAACTGTCTGCAAGGCAAGTGAGGAATTTGCTGGACCTTATGTTCTTGGCAGAGGTTTACTGCCAACATTTATCAGGTCAGTTGAAATCTCCCATTACTACTGAATCTCTCCCTTTTGAATGTGTGGCCATCTGCTCCAAGAAGGCATCATCCAACTCCTTGGGCTGGCTTGGGGATCTGTAGTATACCCCCACAATGATATCCCTCTTGTTTCTCTCCCCCTTAATTCTTACCCAGATGCTCTCAACCTGGCTTCCTGGATTTAAGTCCTGGAACTCTTCACAAGTATAAAGATCCTTGACATATAAAGCTCCTCCGCCTCCTCTCTTGTTAGATCTATTTCTCTGAAATAATTTATACCCCCCCCCAATATAACTACATTCCAGTCATGAGTTTCATCCCACCAGGTTTCAGTGATACCGATTATACCATATTCATTTTGCTGTATTAAGGGTTCCAGTTCATCTTGTTTATTTCTCATGCTCTGTGCATTAGTGTAGAGACATTTAGGATGTGTTTTCCTTCCCCTTGTTGTTCTCTAATGCTACTTGCCTTGCTGGGCTTTTCTTGCCAGCACTTGCTGAATTTCTGCCCTGAAAACTATTGTCTCCCCCCTGCCCCGAGCTCAGTTTAAAGCTCTCCTGATTAGGTTGGTGAGCCTCTTAGCAAAAACATTACTGCCAACAGCTGTGAGGTGCACCCCATATCCTTGCCAAAAGACAATCTTTGTGAAACAGCAGACTGTGGTCCAAGAAGCCAAATCATTCCTGGCAGCACCATCTGTGGAGCCAGTTGTTCACCTCCATTATTCTTCTCTCCCTTCATGGGCCATGTCTTTCAAGAGGGAGGAGAGATGAGATTACAATCTGCACACCCAGGTCCTTCAGCTTCTTACCCATATCCTCATAATCTTTTGTGATATTGTGAAAGCTATGCCTCTCGGTGTCATTAGTTCCCACATGAACCAAAAGCAAGGGGTAAGGGTCAGTGGGCTTAACGAGTCTTGTCTGTCTCTCTGTTACATCACAAATTGTGGTTCCAGGGAGACAGCACACCTCACGATTCATCTTCCCAGGCTTGCAGATCGTGGCTTCTATTTCTCTGAACAAGGACTCCCCAACCACTACAACTCGTCTCCTCTGAAGCTTGGTAGGGGACACTTGATATACAGATTGTTCCAGGATCCTCTGTATATTCTCTGCAGGCTGCTGTTCTTGCTGCTGTTCCATTTCCTGATTAATAAGGAAGAGAGGTTGGAATCTATTCTGTAGCTCCAAACTCTCTGTAAGGTTCCTGGGCCTTCAACATCTGTGTGTGACAATCCTCCAAATGTCTGCCTCCTGTATTTGTGGACTGCTGGGAGGCCTCTGAACTGGCACCAGAGACTGCTTGCTGTTTGGACCTCACCATTCTGCACTGCTGGCTTTCCAGGATCTGCTTCCTGGAACCCACCTGGAAAACCAGCAAGGCCAACAGGCCTATGGCATCAGATAGTGAAAGCAGCCAAGGACCAAAGGGGAAAGAGTGATTCTAGAAAGACCAGGGGAAACTACAAACACAGTCCCCCACTTAGGCAGTTGGTTTTCCCACATTTGGGGAAATCACAGGGGTCAGCACATCCAAAGTGCCATAGATGAGCCTCACCCTGGGAAAACCACTTTGATGCCCATGATATCTCCCCTGCCAGGTATGAATTGGAATGACCCCTGAACCCCCTGCCCCTTTCTGTGCCCTGTCCCCAAAAGGCATGGTGACCCCCCCGGCCGCACCTCCTGATCAGAACAGGGCTGCACAGCCCCAGTCCCGAAAGAGGCCAAGAGAGCCTCTTGCCAAAAGAGGGGAAAGGAGCAGGAGCAGGAGCGGAGAAGAGCACAAAATGGCTGCTGGCTGCGGGCTGCCTGCTGGCTTTTAGCTGTTTGGGGCTCTTTTTTGGCTGTTCTGGGGTCTACCAAGGCACTGTGAAGAGCCAGGCTCAGTCAACAGTACCTGGTAAGTGACTTTCTTTTAAGTTTTTTAAAGTTTCTGACCTTCCCCCCCCCAATAAAAATGCATTAATTAATTTTCAATGCATTTCTATGGGAAATTTGGATTCAACTTGCAAACTTTTCAACTAGTTCTGCGCATCTAATAGAGAATGTATTTCCAAGGAATGTAGTTTCCTTGCAGCAAGGAAACTAACTGTGCCTTGTGACTTCTAACTGGATTACAGTACCTGCTTCCTGATTTCAGCTACTATAGTTT